TTGTTAAATCGCGTTTTCAAGTGATGGAATTTATTTTTCGAACTAGTCACGAGTATATGCCTTATTGTGTGTGTTGTTGAGTTTCTCAACAATATATTTCCAACCATCATTGTTAAATGTTGAAGGTTCAATGAAAGAGAAAAAAGAAAATGAGAGACAAGGAGGGCTTGAATTTAGGTTTTCTTTTTCTGCTCAGTTCAACCACAAATGCCAACATCTTCATGCCCATTAACGTTAGTCAATTTTTTCTAGAAACGGTGTGGTTGTCACTCATTGGCAAGTTTACTCATTCCATGAACCTACGGGTTCACAAAACACAAAGTGAAACTCTTTTCTATTAGATGTATCAATACATTTTAACTTTGGATTTGAAAATGTGTCACTTGTATGTAAACAAGAAGACCTCATGGGTCATTAGTTCAATCAAGTGGTTGGGTTGTTTAACTCGTGACCCATTAGAACTTTTTTGCATTGTCAATGTATGAATCTATGTAAGTCATTGAGGTATGTAAAATGCTATGAATCCATGACCCGTTGACATGTTCAAGAACTATATGAGTGATTCATGTGTAAAATGCCAACTTAGCACAAACATTGGCATCATGATTGGAGCCACACTGGTGTGTGAGATACACCATAAGTGGTAGAAGTGCAACTCAGGTTGGTTTGAGTTATTATTTTACATTGACTTGGGTCCATTCAAATTTTGACAAAAGCCTAATGCAAGCCTACCTAAGTTGTACACCTAATAAGCGCCATGCCATGCTTAGGCTTAGTCATGCTTATATAAGATTATGTTTGGTTTGAAGATAAAAAGTAGGGAAAGGAAAGGAAAGGTAGGGAATTGTAAAGGTTTTCCTACCTTTCCTTTCCTTTCCCTGCCTTTTCTTTCAAACCAAACATAGCCTAAATGAACCATATTTCTTCTTGAGAAAGTTGTGTTCAAGGCCTATTTATTGGTTCTATAGCCATGGATTGTTGATTCCAGTAATACCAGTGTATTCGTGAACTAGATGAAACATGACGAACCGAACACCCCCTTAATGAATACATTAGGAAAAAAATGATTTATAAAAAAGAACCAAAAAACAAATGGATAAATTTACGAATAACTAATAGGTAGATTAATGCAGTGATTTTTAAACAAAACCATAAACCTTACAAAAAAAGGCATATGCCATGGTTCAAAACCGAAAGAAGAAAATTAACCATCAATTGAACCAACTTTTAAATCCAACCCATTTCTCATAGTCATTATGTTATGAAAAGCCCAACCCAACCCTAAAGAGGCCTTTAGTAACACAACTTTGGCCCTTATGCTTGTTTTTATAAGATTGAAAGGGGCTACACATGAGGGGGGTTAGCACATCCCCAAAAGTCTCCGAAAATAATAACATTAAGGTCCTAAGAAAGAGCCCCAGGGTTGACAATTAAAGGTCTATTCTTGTTCCTTTGCACCCCATTGGCTGACTAGCCAGCATGCAAATTGATTTGCTTTTGGTAAGCGTAATTGTAGCTAATTCCAACCTCACACATCTTTATCTCCAGGTAGTCACTAATGATGTTCTTTAATCTACAAGGCAAGTCAAGAACTTGTTGTAAACAAAGAATAACTAGTTTGGAGTCTCCCTCAAGAGTGATGGGAGAACCCTTGAAATTAAGATCCATGTTTTAGGCATCCAAAGCAGCCCAATCCTTAGCCATATTAATTGTTGTTATCCCTACGTTATACATTTTAATGTCAAGAATTTGACCTAGATGATTCCTCGCAATACTACCTATTGGGCATTTCCTTAAGGTGTTGCAATAAACATCAAAATTTATATATATATATTTCCCCCTCTCCTAGGGAATTCCACCAAACAAGCTTCCAAACTTTAGTCTCCTCCTTGCCCTCATTCCTGATGGAAAGTGTTGTAAATTCTCTATACACGTACATAGCGGGGGGAGGGGGGGGGGAGGGATGATAGCATTTTTAAAAATCCAAGGGTTTCTACTTTTCCACAAAAACCATGGAATAAAAGCATTTTTTTTCCTTTTTGTTGGTCGCATCCTCGTGATTATTAGTGATGCTGCCTGGAGCCAGCTCAACCATAACCCGAACAAGTAGTATCTATTTTGCCCCACCAAACTGTCTATAAATCATAATCTTCCTTTGGAACTATGATGCAAAATTCATCCAAGTTTGCCTAGCTATGATGCAACTTTTAAAAACATGATCAATATTCTCCTCTTCACCACAATGGGTGCACGATCCATCAATATTGATTCATTTTCTTCTTAGTAGATCGTTTGTAGGCAGTCTATTGTTGAGAAAGGATTACAAAAAAGTTCTATATTTGGGTGGACACTTAAGCTTTCATACATTAGTATTCCAATCAAAGATTGAATCCATGTTGGTCTTTGAGTTGCATTTAGCAGCATATGCCATTTTAACCGAGAATGAGCTTAGCCTCTAAATAAATTTATCTTATTTATCCTCTTTAGGAATGTATATGGATTTTCCTCTCTATGTCTATAACTTCACATACAAGCATATTATTATTCTCACTTACTTCCTGATCAACCATATTATTAAGAGAATAATCACCCACCCAATTATCTTTCCAAAAGTTTATAAAGTTTCCATTGCCCACAACCCAACCACTTCCATTTTTTAAGGAGCTCTCTCATAGAGAGGATTCCTCTCCAAGCCCAAGAGATTCTCTTTTTGACATCCACATTCTAAACGGTCTATTTCTTAAGGTATTCATCCTTTATAATCTTAAATCATATGTTGTCCTCTTCTTTCAAGATCGTCCAACCCAGTTTTGCCATATTCACTTCATTAATCCATTTCAGTTTCGTCAGACATAGACTTCATCGATTTTTGGGGATCACACCCGATTCCACTTAATGAGGTGAATGGGGTTTTCCTCTTGAATTTTTCCACAAAAGGGTTGTTGTTTTCTGTCAATCTCTTCTAAAACATTGTTTATGATCCTAAAGGACCTCATAATGTACTGGGGTATCATATTAATTGTTGCATTCAACAAAGTAGTTCTCCCTACAAGAGAAAGAGTGTTTTTCTTCTAATTTGCAAGTTACTTGAGATTTTCTCATTCAAGTCAATAAATGTCATTTAGTTACTCTGATGGGAGCCTTGCGCCAACTATATTTGTGTTGCACTCCATTATAGAATGCAAAACATATGGACATTTCTCCTCAACTATTGATTGGTAAGGCCAAAATGGAATGCAAAGACTACATTAACTCCTTGGATAATCTGAGTTATTTTTCTTATCCTAGGACTGATGAGTTGCAGGTTTGGTGGATGAAGCCAAGTCATGAAGAGTTAAAAAAATTAACTTTGATAGGAAGGATAATGGGAAGTGTGCAATTGGGGTGATTGTTAGTGACTGAATAGGAAGGGTGAGATGCGTGCATTGCAAGGATATTGGGAGTTGTTTGATTAATGAAGTAGAAGCCTGGTGACACTCAAGATGCACAAGATGGCTATTAGGGTGATGTTTGGCATCGATGATGATTTCTTCTAGCCGATTATCCCAAAATTGGTGATTTCTGGAATCAATAATTTTTGAAAAATCATCAAAAATTGTTGTTTGGTATCATTTATGTCATGTAAGCTGAATTTTGAGAAATTGGCTTTGAGTTTGTTTGGTATTAAGGGTCAATTATTTTTGTATTAGAGTTATTATTCAATGTCATGTTGGATGCCATGTCATCCTAAAAAAATCGGAATCAATTAAAAATTAGTAAATCACCAAAAAAGGTGATCCCTTAAAATGACTTATTTCAATAATCGATTTTGGCTGATTTCCCAGAAATCGGCATAACCAGCCAACAAAATAAGAAAAAAAAAACATTGATTCTTTAAATTCTTATGTGGATCCTATGTGGCACCGATTTATGAGAATTCATCATCAATTCCAAACATCACCTATGTTTGCGGTTTGCTCACTCGAGGTTATGTATAGAAGGTGAGTCCAAATAGGGTACAAATGGATCATATCATGATGTGGTCCTATTTATTCGAATTTGGATCACTCCTATTCAGATCTTCGGATTGGAAAAAATGATCCAATCAGGAATCGAATTAGATTCAAATCACCCCCTTATTCGATCCAAGAAGATCCAATCCTATGTATATTATATATTTATATATATATATATATAATATGTTATTTATTTATTTATAAATATATTTTTATAAATTTATTATATTATTTATTTTTTATAAAAAACATGCATATATATTATGAAAATAATTAAAAAATACTTGTATTTTTTTGTTTTTACTTTATTCAAATTAATATATTTTTTAAAATAATTTATTAATTTTTAAAGAAAATAAGTTAGACCGGATCATATTTGAAGATACAATTTACCGATAAAATTCGAATTTAAATCGATTCCTATCAGACCCGATCGAATATAAATAGTATCAGATCGAATTCTATACCCTAATTTGAATCCGATACGATTTATTTGCATCCCTAATTCCAAAATTATTATTTGAAAGAGAAGATCCCGTGGAAGGTTGTTTGTCCGAGAGTCACAGGATCAGTCAACACAAAGCGCTATGAGTTTCATACCATCATGTTCTAGGTGAAGCTAACGCAGCTGATTGGTTGGCCAATATCAAATATGGGTCACGACTCACGACACAAGTGCCTCCCGCTTACATATGGACATGATCGTCAATTTTCTACTTTCAAAAGGTTGTAAAGGGAAAGTCTGCAAATTAAAAGGTGATTCGTTTGAATCAAGAGCTGCGATGGAAAAAACCGAGGGCCCGCAGGCCACAGCCTAGGTGCCAATCGATAGAATCGCTTTATCAAACCAAAAACGGGAAATTCCAAATTAACGGCTTCCGATCCGGGTCTATAGTTTAGATTATAAAACCGGGTCTTTTACATTGGTCATTCTAGGCTTCTACGATGCCGTCGATGGGGTAGATTCGGGATAAGTAGGGTTTGTAGACGTTACGATATAAACCCCAAACATCGATTCAGAGGCTTAGGGTTTCTGGCTCGTCTCAGAAGAAGAGTGAAAGAGGTAAGAGGGAGAGAGACAGCCGCAACTCCAACGCCGTCACCATGGGTCGTATGCATAGTCGCGGGTAAGCGTCTCTGTCCTTTCGCAGGTTCCAATGGCGATTATTCCCAATCTCTCAGCTTTTCTGATTCTTTTTCTTTGTGGGCTTGGTCGTTGTTGTTTACAGTAAGGGTATCTCTTCATCGGCTCTGCCGTACAAGAGGACTCCACCCTCTTGGCTGAAGATCTCTGCTCCGGATGTGAGGAACTCTAAACCCATTTCTCTAGAATGATATCCTAATATTGATCGCATATTCTGATTCGAACAATTCGGTTCTAACCTTTCAGGTTGAGGACAACATCTGCAAGTTCGCGAAGAAGGGTTTGACTCCTTCTCAGATCGGTGTCATTCTTCGTGATTCCCACGGTATTGCTCAAGTCAAGAGCGTAACTGGGAACAAGATCCTGCGTATCCTAAAAGCTCACGGTGAGTCTTACACCCCTCCCCCCATTTGATTCCAGCTTAGAGGCTATGATTCTGGGATTATCATAAACTGATGGTTTAATCATTTTTTGGGAAATGACTAGGGCTTGCCCCTGAAATCCCTGAGGATCTGTACCACCTCATCAAGAAGGCCGTTGCCATCCGGAAGCATCTTGAGAGGAACAGGAAGGATAAGGATTCCAAGTTTAGGTTGATTCTGGTCGAGAGCAGGATCCACCGTCTTGCTCGCTACTACAAGAGGACAAAGAAGCTTCCACCCGTTTGGAAATAGTAAGTTTCTTATATATAACCATCAAGTAGCTGTTCCATTTTTTCTTATCCGTGAATTTCTACTTGGTTGTTGATTCTTTTTCCTTAGTCTGTTTGATAGGTCTAGTGTTCATCTAGCAAGGGTTCCTCCGAATTTTTAACATGTTGTCAAATTGTTTATCTGATGAGCTTCCTTATGCTGCTCTGTAAATGATGTGGGTGTGGTTAATGCACAAATAGGATATCAACAATTGAAGCTTTTTTAAATTTTTATACAAAGAAAATGAGTTTAAAAGTGGAAAGTGGAGATTGCAGATCAATTATCTTTTTGGAGGTTCTTATTTTTTGAGTTCTTACTTCATGGGTTATTGGGAAGGCGTGGGAAGGATGCCCTTCCTAATGGGAACATGTTAATTTTCTGATAATCCCACATTCGAATTGTGTTTTTTCTGTCTTCAATAGAGATTTTACTACTTAATCTTGCCGTATGTAATTGGAGTGATGAGTGCAAATTTGCAGGCTTTAATGTTAGAAAAAAAAATTACAGGCTTTAATGTTTCAATGTACTCTTACGAGCATTTCAATCTTTCAACCTCATATATCTATTACATGTAAACCCGTTTAGGTTTGTATGCAAAAGTGTGTTTGAGTTGTATGCCCGTTTAGGTTTGTATGCAAAGGTGTAAATACTATTTGGGTTGTATGCCTGTGTATGGAACAATGCTGCAAGAATTAGAGAATTATCTTTCTGCCTGTAGGCAAACATGTTTCTGGTGTGACCATCAAAAAACTACTGATGTAAAAATATAGTAATAGAAGAAAAGCATAACAAAGTGGACGTATTACTATAGTTTTGTATTAAATTAATCATTCATATAGAATTCGTAATTATAGAATCTGTTTTTGGCTATACTACTATCAAGTAGATGAGAGATGCAACAAGACATCATGGATTTACAATGTATATTGCATCCCTCGTGGTGATGCTAAATTGTATAAAGAACCAGAATAATGATGTAAGGGCTAAGATGGACTTGAGTCTTTACACTAAAAGATGAAAAAGTATGGACCTGGGAACACGTCTAAAGAAAACATTTACTACCATTAGAACAGTTTATAACTACTCCATATGTTTTTGAGTCTAGCGTCTTGTACATGTGGAAAATGATCTAAAGTTTCACTTTTGTTACTTGATGACATTCTATAAGAATAAATTGTACATTTGGTGTTTGTTCATGTAAATAAGAAGAAAAAGAAAATTGTGAATTAAAAGCTTTCCTCAAAACACCAACCTGAATTGTAATAATGTTTGTTTGTTTCTTTCTTTCATGGTGAAATTTTGGATCCCTGTTTATTTGTCCAGCATTATAATTTTCATGGCTCATGTTAATTCCTACCATCTACAGCTTGTAGTTTCTGTTTCATTGTGATCCGAGATGAGAAACTGATGGCATGCTATTTTTAATGCAGCGAATCAACCACTGCAAGCACTCTTGTGGCGTAGTGGATATTTTTTTTGTGCTGATGGGAATTCTATGGACGCCGTAGACTGCAATCACTTTAATTTAGAAAGTTGATGTGCTGTTGAAACCGAAAGGGTAGTTAGATTAGAAAGTTAGTTGTGGCAACTTCTTTAGGATAAGAAGAAAGATTTTGATTTTTATGAACTAGCTGCTGCTATATGCATTCGTTATTTTTGATCTGCTTTGATAAGGTTCTTTCGAATTTTGAAGTTATTTATTACCCAACGAAGGTTTAAAATTTTGAAGTTATTGTGAAGGGTAATGCTAGGGGAGATTATAAATTATTGTTGCTGTAGTAAGTAACGCATGACACTTGGGAAGGTGGAAGAATCAATGTAAATTCATATATTCGAAGTCCCCTTAGCGTGCCCTGAATGGCGGGCTTTAACAGAATGCAACCCTGACCGACGGTCCTTCAATTGCACACTCTTCGTCTGCCATGTTTGCTGAAGTAGGGGCACACGATGTAACAACTAGGCTAATGAAACGTAGCTTGGGGTGGTAGTTCGATACTATCAATGGATTGGAGAAGTTGCGGATCTGTGCTTTCTATCAACCCTGACTGACGGTCCTTCAATTGCACTCTTCGTCTGCCATGTTTGCTGAAGTAGGGGCACGCGATGTAACAACTTGGCTAATGAAACGTAGCTTGGGGTTGTATCTCGATACTATCAATGGATTGGAGAGGAAGTTGCGGATCTGTGCTTTCTAGTTTAAATTTTTAGGGTAAAATGCAAAAATCTCCCCGGAAGTTTTCCACCATCTGAACAAACCTCTCCTTTAGTTTCACTTTAACAAAAGAGTCCCTTAGATTTTTAAAGAATTTGACACCCTTCTGTCACTGATCCATATGGAAAACGTTAAACCAGTGCAACTTTTTTGAAATGTCTATTTGACCCTTTTATAAGTTGGTTTATATACTTTTATTGAAATACCCCCGTTTGAAAATTGACCAAAAAACTCAGTTCCAAAAAAGAGTAATCCTAAAAAGTTTGTCATTTTATTGGGAAAATCTATGATGCAAAAAAAATATATATATGATATTGGAAGAGTTTTGACCTATCAAAACCCACCCATGAATTTTGATAAATAATACCTTATTTGTATGTTTGTGATTTCAATTTATTGGTCAGTTGTTTTTTCCGATATCATATCTTTTTCATATCATAGTCAAACCGGTAAGGTAAAGAAGCAACATTCGAGGCTTAGAAAAATGGGGTTTCTTTGAACTCCATTGACCTCTCTGACAACTTTCTTCAAGGTGGGTTTTCAAATTTCTTCACAAACATTTCAAGTTTACAAAATATTAAGCTAACAAACAACCAATTGAGGTTGAACATTTCAGAGATTGTATTACTAGATGCACTTTCCTTTATTGATCTCCACTCAAATCAACTCTATGGGCCACTATCAACGCTTTTAGACACTAACAAAATCATATTTCTAGAGCTTGTTGACATCTCAAACAATCAAATCATAGGTGAGATTCCAAAGTTTAATGAAGGTTCGAGATTGAAACTGCTGAACTTGGCACACAACAGAATTTCAGGTCAAATCCCGTATTCAATCTCAAACCTGATTGAACTAGAAAGGTTTGATGTTTCAAGGAACTAGATTAAGGGCACCATCCCTGCAAGCTTAGGCCAATTACCAAAGTTGCAATGGATCAACTTGTTAATCAATGTTCTCAGTGGCAAGATCCCAAATAGCTTTCTAGGCCTACAGAGTCTCAGGCATGCAAGTTTCAGGGCAAACAAACTTTGTGGAGAGATGCCACAAGGGAGGCCATTCAACATATTCCCTGTGGTTGCTTATTCCCACAACCAATGCTTATGTGACAAGCCCATGCCACCTTCCAAGATAAACAACCTACAGGAGTAGGGTCAGTGAAATGTTGACCCAATTGCCAATGGGCATTTTTCATGCCATATCAATATTGTTAGATCAGGTTAAGAGAGGGTTCTATTTCATAATAACTGAAATCCTTTATCTTTTTGACTGAATACAGTATTACACTTATTGTTTGCTTGTTTTTCAAGGGAAGCAATCTGTTGGATTTGATAGTGAATTTAGTTAGCTATGTACTCAATACTATTCAAACTATTCAAGAATAAGAATTACATCATTCCTTGTATTAGTAGTTGGTCGTTCCATTAGAATTGCGAAGACACCAAAGAGCCCATTTATAGGCATGTTCAACTGAATCATACATACATACATACATACATACATACATACATATATATATATATGTGTGTGTGTGTGTATATATATATATGTATGTATATGTGTATATATATATATGTATATATACATACATATATATATATATATATGTATATAGATACACAGATGATAGTCAACCCATACATTAAGGTTACTCAAAATGGCCTCTATGAATATATCTTCCTTATAATCTACTCTTCTACTTCAGCTTCCGCTTCCCTCTCTGAGATTCCTTGTTCCTGGTATAGTAAACATGCATTTACAATAATGTTATTAATATTATGACATCAAAATGAGAAAAATCTGAAGCAAATATTTCAGTGTGTTAATATGGAAAATAAAATAAGTGTGAAAGTACCCAAATTCATATTGATCTTAGAATCAAGGCTACAACTGTGCATATCGATAGGCACTATGGGGACATCCTTATTACATTCTTCACTGCAAATCAACAGAAACCCAACTCCCATCATTAACCAGTAAAAATTAAGAAGCTACCTCAAGTCCAGTACTTGAGTAGTGCTAGTAACAATTTAGAGACATTAGAAACCAAGGTTCAAAGTATCGGGCATATCGTATTGTATCTTTTGTGGTCCGAAACGCCTATTTACAAGTATTTCGGGACCCCACTCTTTTTTAATAAAAATATGTTAAAATATCTACCTAAAAACCAAATTTTGAAAAAAAAAACTAAAAAAAACAATTTCCACTTGTATCTAAGTACCGATACGCCTCTGTTGATACACAGAGGCATATCGATACTTTGAACCATGTTAGAAACAGATCCGCATGGAATCAAAATACTACACAGACTTCCTCCAGAAATCAAGTAACAACATATGAAGATGCATAGAAACAAATCTCAAGGCTTAACAAATAGACATTCTAAAAGCCCAATAATCTCAGACAAACAGAACAACTAAATAATAGATGAACTATTAATTGAAAAGATGAACCTTAGCATTTAGTGGAAGTGCTTCCATCCTTGGCATGTTTTAGAGTACTTTTCTCCACTTTGACCCTCTTTCTTGATAGCGAGTTAGAGAGAGAGAGATTCAATGGTGAAAGAGTCAACAACTGCCTCTTCTTGAGTCGATGGAGTTTGAAGGGACATTAAAAGAGGAGGAAGAAAATGACAATGATTATTCTTTCCTTGAACCGATAGAGTTTGGATGAAAGATTAAAGAACTGCATTCCTCGTACAATTGAGTTCAGGGGTTAGAAAATGATAAAATATAAATAGGTCAAACGGAGTTTTTTGGTCGATTTTCAAATGGGGGTATTTCAGTAAAAGTATATAAACTAACTTATAAAAAGGGTAAAATGGACATTTTGAAAAAATTGATGCACCGGTTTAACATTTTCTATTTGGGTCGATGACAGAAGGGAGGTTTTTGACAATTTTTTTAAAAGTTTAGGGGAGGTTTTTGTTAAAGTGAAACTAAAAGGGAGGTTTTTATGATTGTTAGAAACTTTAGGGATGGTTTTTGTATTTTACCCTAGATTTTAACAAGTATTAGTGTAATAATGGAACTGAGTGGATGGTGTTCAGTTCACATCCCTACCACCGCTAATACAAGGGTTCGAATTTGATCAAGGTTCAAAGTATCGACACAGGCCAACATGTCGGTATCGGTACTTTCTTTTAGGTTGTATTTTTATTTTTTTGAAGTTGGATCAGAGGGGTCGGTTTAAGGCCTGGATACCCTCTGAACCAATGTCTGACCCAATACAACCCCTGGAGGGGCGTATCGAGAAGCCATCGGCATGATACATATCGGCCGGTACGTATCAATACTTTGAACCTTGAATCTGATACAAATAAGACATTGCACTAGGCCAAAAATCCCAATCACAAATGAACACATCAAAGATCTGTAATGGTTACCCAATGCACAAATTCATGTTCTTGATTTGGTTTCATACCCCTATTTGCTATATAGCTTTTTTGTAGGAGATTTTGAGTTGGTTTATAATTGAATTGGTATCACTCTCCCTCTTGAGTAAGGGTTTATTTTTGGGCTCAGTATAGTTGCAGTGCAAATAGGTTGAGAGTATGTTCTGATACACTTTTGCTTTAAGTTTGACTTTGTCTTTATTTATTTGTGAGAAAGAAATAAAGTAGGAAGTAAAATGATGTTGTTCTCACTCATATACAAAGAGGCAAGAGGAGGGTGTAAGTTTTGTATATGTAATCAGAAAAGAGTGCAAATCTTAACCACAATTTACAAACAAACGAATGCAAGAGTGAACCAGGTCCAGGTGCAAAATTTGTATCCGGGTCAAATAATCAGATTTGCATTGCAAATAAAAAGGGTATTAAATACAAGAAACCTATTTTTTAAGCAAATAACAAAAAAAATTCAAAAGTCCTAAAAATTGTTAATGTGAAATAAAACAACCCTTGAAGAATAAACACTAGTTGATTGTTGATTGTGGATTAATAGGTAGAGCTGGTAGATCAACCCAAAGTCCCAAACCAACTGCCGATGAAGTAGATCAAGAAGAATGTCTTTATCATTATTCTCTTCCACCAAATTGTGGACTTGACGTTTGAATCCTCTGCCCATATACTTCTCTTCCTAAGGAATCCATGCTTGACAAGGTAAATTTCCTTGGTACATCTCTGTTTTGCCTTTAATAAACATGAAATCCTTGAATAACAACAAATTAACATCCATCCTCTATATCCTCATCGTTCATCTTCACCCACTTCGCCTCAAAAAAAGCTAAGGCGGTTTGCTTTTGGTACAGTCACAGATTGATAGATGTTGGCTATTTGACTCTAGGGGTGTTCTTTTTTTAGATTTTGAGAGAGGGAAAGTTGGTCAATGGGATTTTGGTTCTTATTGATCAAGAATCCCATATTCTTTTTTCAGATTTATGTAAGGCAGTGGGGGCTAAGGAAAGATTATTTTCCTAGATATCTCCTAAGTGAATAAATAACTTTCTCACCTAAGGGAAAGTTGCCAACATTTGAATGAAACAAAAATGCCCCTTTTAATAATGGATTTTTTAGATAAAATGATCATTGACTTATTTACATGAGAAATAAAAAAATATGGGTAAATACACTTACCCGGATAAATGTTTCCTAGAAAAAATATACCCAAATAACTGCATTTACCCGGATAAGTAATTTATCGAAAAGCGAACAAGGCCGACTTACCGAAAACTGCCGAAGCAGTAATGTATTGATATTCGGATGCTTCTGGGTTAAGGAAGTCGTCTTTCGCTCCTTGAAGTTGAATCTTTTTGGGGTTTATTAATGTTTTGCAATTTTGCAATTATTATTTGGACTCTTCATTTGTCCTGTTTCCTTATTCTGAAGAATTTCATCGAGCTTCTGCATTTTGGGTTCGTAGTTTTGATCATGGAGGCACTAGCTTTTTGCCGTAATTCACACACTTGAAAAGAATATCGGAGATTCCATTTCCGATGATGTCATTTATCTTAGCCTCTTGGTGATCCCCCATCAATAGTTGGGCATCATTCATCGATGGCAGCCTGGGCGATAGGTCACTCATCAAAGGCACAACTCATTGCTTCATCCGACAATGATCAAAATTGTTAGTCCCACATTTGTGGTCCATACCGTTGCTGCGAACGCCATTCACTACAAGAAAAATGATCTAAGCCTGCGGTTTAGACCCGGCGGTCTTAATGACCACCACTATAGTGATATCTGAAGAACTGCTTACATTGGTTTTTCGGGAACAGGCGCGACGGTCTAAAATAAGAGATGCGACGGTTTTAAATTTAAACCAGATTTAAAATTTTCCTGCGCCTCTTCGTCTTCTCTTTTCTCATTTTCCTCTTCTCGCCCTCTTTGTATCTCCCTCCTCTCTAACTTCGCATCCCCAGAACTCTCTCTCTCTCTCGCTCTCATTTTTTTCATTCTCTCTTTTTCTATTTCTTTTTATTCTAAACCTGAAGCATGCGGGAGATTGGATGTGCGCTCCAGCCATGAACTCTCCATTCGATCAAACTACTTACAATCCCTAACCTCATAATCTCTCACTCTCCAGAGCCAAATCCCCTATCAAATCCATTCATCCATCGCATTGCATTTTTTGGATCGATGATTCCTCAGGTATGCCTGCGACCGAACTGCAGTTTGTCTCTCATTTCCTTCCCTAGGATCTCAACGCCACTTATATTTTTATCTTGCTCAAAAACTTGAATTTTTAATCCATTTCACAATGTTTTTGTTTGGTTTGTTTTGTTTAGGGATATACTTGTTTTGAAATCCTTGATTCGTCTAATTCCTAAATCCCCTTCACTTTGAGGTTGACTCGTCCTAATTTAAAACATATAATTTTTTTCTTCTTGCCGCCCATGCCAGAGGAATTCCCTTCTTAATTTTCTTTTCTATTTGGATTTCTGGACATTATCTCTTAAAGCTTTCATGTGCTTAGTTTTAGTTGATATTATGTTTACACAAATGTGTTCTTATGACGCTTACTGCAATAAATATGGTAGTATCATTTTAAGCATTGTTTTATGTTTTCCAATGCCATTCTTTTATTGTTTTGGCTCTTTTATGTTATTATGACAGGTTTACTGCAGTAAATCTGATTGTAAGTACTGATTGCAAATAAAAGAACCATATAAAAAGGACCATGAGGCAGAATGTGGTAAGTTTGAGGAAACAATACCAGAAAAGAGCCAAAGCAATATAGTGAGTAGCCTAGCTGAGAAAGCCATATCAGTTGCTGCTCCTGTGGTACCTACCAAAAGTGACGGTGAAGTGGATCAGGAAAGGTCAGCATCATGGCACTAGCACTTTTTTCTTTGAATTGTCTGTAATAATAATCTTTCTTCAAAATTTTAGAGCACCTCCCAATTTTCTACATGTGAACAGACTGGTAGCAATGCTGACAGAGGGACAGAAGGGTGGAATCTTGAAGCTGCTTAGTAAAATTGCTTTGCTTTTAGTTTGATGAGAGAAACATTACAATTCCAATGAAAACACAAGAATACAATCACCAAATTTATCCAAGATGGAACCTCTCATAATAAGAAGCAGACCATTCTATTGTTCCCTTGTCTTGTTCTTTCATGGATGAAAATAGAAAAATACAGAGCACTGATAAAAAAAATAGAAAAATACAGAGCTTGGATCTGAGGAAAGCAACAAGTGTGAACACGCTGAGAGCACAACATCCAGCCGCATATCGTAACATTCCCATACTTGTGTGTTAAGTTCATGGAGAGATGTCCCAATTGGATGTTGTGCTCTCAGCGTGTTCGCATTTTTCTTTCACCAGATCTGTCTTTAAAATGCAACCATCAAGCATACCTGATGGTGCGCAATCCGACCGGTCCTAGCTGTCAACGACCTTGCCTCTGACTGGAGCAATAGGGGGGCCTGAAACGGAGAAGAAAGTGGGGAATCTCCGGGGAGGAGCCCGGTGAGATGAGATCACTCCGAAGCTCAAGTTAGTATTCTCTCAAAGGCAAGATAAAACTAGATGGCGCAGAGTTCACATACCTTGTTCTTGGGGGGTAGAGAGCCTTTTATAACCACTTCGCGCACTCACTCCTAGGCTTCTACCAGTTCGGGTGTCATCACCTCTGTTGGGACAGAACTGCCATTGCTCTTTGTCGGAGCCGTCTCTGTAACTGGAGATGGCGGTGGCAGGTGGCCGTTGGAGTGCGACTGTCAAGCGCCAGATCCCAAGTCAGTCAGGTGCGCCGCCCCTGGATACGGACTCCTTCGGTGTCCGGTACGGTGTGGTTTGTTTAGTTCGGTGTCCTGGAGGCGAAGTGCTGGAGTGGTGTGCGAGGTTAAGTCTTGAGTTCGGATAGAGGTGTGGCTCGAACTGCCATGGGGCAGGCCAGTTCGAGTTGTTGCCCTTTGTGTTCGTAAGGCTCGGGNGTCAAGCGTCAGATCCCAAGTCAGTTAGGTGCGCCGCCCCTGGATACGGACTCCTTCGGTGTCAGGTACGGTGTTGTTTGTTCAGTTCGGTGTCCTGGAGGCGAAGTGCTAGAGTGGTGTGCGAGGTTAAGTCTTGAGTTCGGATAGAGGTGTGGCCCGAACTGCCATGGGGCAGGCCAGTTCGAGTTGTTGCCCTTTGTGTTCGTAAGGCTCGGGGCCTAAGGGAGGGCTCAGGCCCCTTACGGGGAGTTCGGGCCCTTTGCAGGGAGTTCGGACCGCTGGTTCCTCCTGTCGGAGCTCGCGCCTTGGCGAGCTGTTGTCTTTGCCACGTGTTGAGTGGTTACGAGGTTGGGCCAAATCTTCCTTCATCAATACCCAAGATGGAAGCTCTCATAGTAAGAGGCATGCCATTCTATTGTTCCCTTATCTAATTCTTTCACTCCATATTAAGCCGTAGTTGGTTTTTAGTATTTTTTTTAATCTGATTTTCCTGAAGGCTCCAGAATATCCTTTGGTAATTATGTAGAAGAAGCCTTCATATGGGTATAGGGCCTATAGGCCCGCACTCTCTAATAAAAGATGGTGCACAATGTGCATCTGTTTCTATTCTAACTTACCCAACGAAGTTCCTACCATTTTGATTACACAATGTGCCCTCACTCTCTGGTAATTATGTAGAAGAAGCCTTCATATGGGTATAGGGCCTATAGGCCCTCACTCTCTGATAAAAGATGGTGCACAATGTGCATCTGTTTCTATTGTAACTTACCCAACGAAGTTCCTACCATTACCCAACCAGTTCCATCCCCATGTTCATTTTCCTTCGAATTTATTTGATCTTTTAGTTATGTATGGTAATAATGGAAGCATTGCGTACTTGTGAGAAATAGACAATGTAAACAGTGTAATGGCTTCACAAAAACAGATAAAATCATGGAAAAATCAGAACTGCTAGCATGAATAGTAGTTTAAAAATCAAAAGAACATATTGGATCTTCAAGAGTTTGGATTTGTAATTGTATCACATCTTAGAAGAGTTTGGACTTGAGTGGAAATTTAATAATCTTTGATTTTTTTTTTTGGTTTTATGGATATTTTCCATTACTTCTTTTAGTTATCTTTATCCATTTTTTGATAGGCAAGTTTTAGTTTATGGGTATTTTCCATTACTTATATTTAAAAAAATGCAAGTTCTAGTTTCTATATGGATTCTATAGGATTCATTTGTTTTTTTCTTTGGATTTGTATTTGATAGTGGGATAATGGCATAGGATGGTACTATTATAGTGTATGTGGTGGGTAAATAAACAAACCAAATCTTATATAGAGGGAAATAGGAGAATATAAGGATTTCAGATTTGAAATATAGAACTATTAAGAAATGTTTAGAATAAATGGTTTACAGATAAAAAGGACTAAGAATATATGTACTTCGATTATAGCAACAATCAGGGTGGAAAAGCAAATATAAGATAAAATCAATTGCCGAGAGATGCCTTAAGCAATTATTTATGCTGCCTTGGTTTGATAATCTTATAGTGAGGGAGAAATTGAAGAGAATGTTGCTTACATAATCAGAGCATGGTGGATGAAGTAGAGAGGTGCTTCTGGAATCTTGTCCCTTTGACAAACCAATAAAATTGAAAAATATTTTATAGGAAATAGACAAGTTCCTTATTTTGAACCTTGATACCTGCTTGTGTTCTAATATATCCCCCCCCCCAAACAAATTTCCTACTTTGGTTTGCAGAATTCTTTGGTTTATCTGCATGGTGCTTGTTCTGTCACCAGTGGTTATTCCTCTCTTTCCAACACTAGTGCAAGACTGGGCAGCACAAAATTCTTCTGGAATTGCTAAATATGCTTGCATCTTAGGCCTTTAAACTGCTATTATGATCCTTATTTACAAAGACGTTCAATTAGCTCATGACTAGGTATATCTATTAAACCATTATTTTCCTTTTGAACACAATTTATATATTGAATAGGGTTATGGTGGGTTTTCAAAGTAATTGAATAAGATTTTACATTGAAACCTGTTCTTTATTTAATTTTCATTGTAAAAAGAAAATTTGGGTGAAGTGTAATTTGTAACATTCTATTGCAGAAACTTATCTGTGAGAAAAACTTGGTGATAGATAAGAGTATTCAAACAAGATATGTCCAAGCAATCAAATCTGCCCAGCACTTTATATATATTGAAAATCAATATGTTCTTGGATCATCATATGGATGGCCATCTTACAAAATGCAGTTTCGTAGAAACTTCTTCTATATGGATTACACAGTTCATGTACTTTGACGTATCATCACTTACACGAAAGGCTCTCTTCCACTGAACTTATATTGTAATGGTGCATCTTATGCCCCAATCCATGCTAACAATCTTTGTTTTTTTTTCTTATTAAATTCTATAGCTTGATTGGTTCAGCAAATATTGTAATGCAGTCCAATCAAAAGGACTAAAGGTTTATGCTCCAAATATAATCTTATGATTCTTTTTGCATGAGCTACAAGTATGCCCACTCAAGCAGACCCAATTCTTTGAGAGAGAATGGTGTTGGACATGCTTGCATGTGTTGGGCACCAAAAAGGATCCTTTCTCAAAGATATTTCTCAATTTTCTTGGATTTTGTATTTTCATTTTAAGGTTGCTTATGTTGCAAACTAGTAAGTTTATAAAATAAATAATACCTAGGTATGAGTACAGGAGAGTTTGTTCAGATCTGTAGAACAAATTGAAGCTATTCAAAGCATGTAGATAATGCACACAAAGCCATCTCTTCATGAATTAACCTTGGTAGGGACATCACTTTAATCATATGTTTATTTATTGTTTGGTATTGGGTACCCCAAGAGGATATTCTTGACTTAATAGCCAAATGGAAATTGGATCTTCTAGCAACAGGTGTAGTTTCACTCTGGGTTCTCTCACCTTGTATTCACCTGGCTTAATCTTTAGAGCTGCATTTCTGTGGTAGAAGGATGTATGATGGTTGTTGCATCACTGGTTCCCAACTACTTGATGGGTGCCATAGTTGGGATTGGAATTATTGTAAGGAAACTACTTCCAGAAACACCTGTATATTCTCTTATGTTATCACCTTCACAAGCATTATCGTTTTCGTATGTAGGTAGTTATAATGCTGAGCTTTGGATTCTTCTGTATCCTACCTGATCTTCCCATACCATTCTGGCAATACCCAAACCATTATGAGCTCTTGCATCAATCACTTTAACTCATAGCATCATTTTCAAATACTGATGACATAACTTATCAAATATGGTAATATATTATGTAGGGCCAATTCAAGACCGGTCTAATTGGGCTCAAGTTTGATCCTATGGAATAAGGTGATCCAAAGCTCATAGGAGTTCAATTTCTCAAGACGATTTATGGGATTTCACTGAATCATTTCAAATTGTGGGACTTGGCTGCTACAGTAGTCCTCATATCCTACAGGCTTATCTTCTTCATCATACTCAAGTTCAAGGAGAGAGTATTACCATAGCTCCACTCATTTTATGCCAAGAGAACACTTGCACTCCTTAAGAGGAGGCCTTCATTCACAATGAAGCCGCCTATGGTCAAGAAGCAGCGCCAACCTTCTCTCCCATTATCTTACCAAGAGGATCTCAACTCTCCACTCCCCTAAAGTAGTAATTCTTGCACATAACAAAGTTCTATGGCTGCTGATAAGTGTGGAATGCATGACTGAATTGTTTTAGGGTTTTTGAAATCTCAATTAGTGTCAAAGTTAGAGTTTATGAGTTCTGAATTTGGGTTCAGGGAAAAGGGATCAATTGCTGTAAATCAATTGAGGCCCAAGGGATCTTCAGAAAAGGGATCAATTGTTTGTCAGGTTGTCTAGGAATTTAGTGGATTAATTACATAGATGATTGAGAAAATTGAACAAGTCATACTGTGAACTCAAAGATAACTTGCAAAATCAGATTGAGTATGCATTTCACTTGTTAAATTTGGAAAGCTATAAAAATTTCATTGACATAACTATGTATGTCAATGGTAGTGGTTTTGAATTTGGACTTTGGAATGAGTTGCATTAGGTGACTTGTGTTGTGGAGTCGATAACAGCTCTATATCTAGTCGTTGGGTCTTTTACTTTTTCCATTTCATTTTATATTTTATCCCTTTTTGTGACATTATTAGCTTGATGTATATAAAATAAATGAAGGTATGTTTACATACATGCATGCAGGTGCAAGGATCTGTGCAGGATAACAGAACTAGAAACAAGGTGGCAATGTTGGTTGGAAAATGGGATGAGCAATGTATTATGTGTTGGGAGATCCTACTATAAAGCCAAAGGGGTATGATCCCGTGTCAGAAGCTATGTTGTTATGGAAATGAGACAAGTCAGTCACTCAAACATGATACAACTTGACACCTGACCTACTGGAGAAGTTGCCTCCAACTGATTCAAGATTCAGGCTAGATCAGAAGCTTTTGGAGAATGGGGAATATGAACTAGCAAATGTAGAGAAGCTTAGACTTGAACAGCTACAGAGACAGGTAACTTGTACATCTTCTTCAGACAATTGAGAGCACAACATTGGTGGTGGAAAATCATGATACTCTCTTTTGGCATGAGTGACCTTGAGAATAATTTAATGGTAAAAAGAATAACAAAACCTTAAAATTCTGCTTAAGCTGTGTATGTAAAAATTGGACAATCAAAACCTTAAAGAAGTGTAGTTGAACATATTGATGTGACCACATGTAACAAGAAATCGAGGAATCATCAAAATGTTGGTGTAATTAAACATTGAAGATGCTTTCTCTTTCTTTAGAGGAATGCTGGAATAGGTAATAGTTCAAATGAAAGGGTGTGTTAATAGTGTCTTCTTGTTATTTTACTTGACATGTGTAGCTTCATGTCATTAGTTAGATAGCCAAGAAAATATTAGTTTTTAAATATTGCACTTAAATTAGTTTATTTTTCTTTTCTTTTTGTGTTACTTTTCTTTACAGGTTGTAGAGGAAGAAGGTTGCTTTGTAAGAAGGCCCTTATGGATGCTCAAATACCAAACCATGTTTTACAGTTCATGCTCAAATTCCAATTATAAGTGATGCAGTGCTAATATGCAGTGCTATAGAATATTTTGAACTACTATTGATATTCCAATTAATTGCTTAGAATTCAGCCCATGTAGATTTTAGTTACTATTCCTATCTTTATAGTTAAGTTCTTGTACTATTTATATGTCAACTGGATATTGTATTTGAACAATGTCTTTTGGATATTTTAATATATAATCTTTGAATTAATAGATTTCATTTTAAATTGATTTTTATCAAATGGTTTTTCTATATTAAATAGGTACGAAAATGCTAAATCAATAAAAAATTCAAATACCACAAAAATATTGTGGGTATATGCATTTTTTTGAAAAAAAATAGGTATATACCGACGGTCATGTCCACCAGCTTAGCTATCAACATGACCAAAAAATGTTAGAATAAGTAAAAAATGAAAAAAAAATATCAAAATCGGCGGTCATTAAACCGCCGATTTAGCCACAAACAACACAAGGCTGCGGTCATTTAGCATATAAGCCGGTGGTTCGGACCGCCACCTAAAAACACAAGGGAGTTTGACAGAAATCTAAGGCAGCAGTCTTTTGGTATCTAAGCCGGCAGTCTAAACCGCCGCCTAATTAATGCTAAGCCAATGGCTTGGTGCGACCGCTGCTTCAAAGCGATTTGGACTGGCCACCTAAGGTGGTGGTCTTTTTGCACCTAAGCCGACAGAGGTTTAGGGGGTGGACTAAAGACCGCCGCCTTAGATCAAAGCCGGCAGTCGACCGCCGGCTTAGGCTGATTTTCTTGTAGTGATTGTCGTGGTTGTAGTTGTTATTGTCATTGAGGTTGATGGAGGATGTTTAAGGATACACATCATGGCTGCCAACAACCAAGTCAGATCTCGTTGTCACGGAAGGCGGATGTCGAGATATGTCAAGCATATCCTTTAACTGAGAGGAAGTCACTGCTTAGCTCCTCTCGAAGACGGTAGAGACACATCAAAAGAGATGCATGAAGCTAGATCAAACAATATATCATTCCAAAGAACGAAACCACCACGAGTCAGAGGTTTTCAACCGATTCAGTCTCAAGTAGAAGATAATAAGCATTAAATTGTACATGTCATCACGTGATCAAATAGCTGACAATCAAGGGACCAATTTGACACTTTTTGAAAGTTTGGGCATTACAATGACATATTTGAAAGTTCGAGTACTAATTTTACCCAAAGTTCAGATACATAAAGTAGAATCTAATATATATATATATATATACCACTTTAACTCTTTTTGAGGAGTGGACCGACTTCTCTTTGAAAATAGAGGAACTCGCTTCTGATATACTATTTATTGAAAATTTAAAAAGCTACATGTTGATATATATATATATACCACTTTATTTATGTATGTATGTATGTATGTATGTATGTATGTATGTATGTATGTATGTATAGATAGATAGATAGATAGATAAATATAAACGTGTACTTGCATTTTGCATCGTATCTCTAAGACAAAACTATTTACAATTTGTGGGCAGTTTTTGAAGTGAGAGTAAAGGATATATATGCCCGCCGTGTGCTTAGACAAGAGGGGTAGAATAAGTGAATGACCCCGTACTATGGGAATGAGTAATGTTAAATTTATATTATGGAATCAATAATATTAATTTTATATTTATTAATATTTTAAATAATTATTAAAATTTCAAGAAATATTTATTTAAAAAAATAGCTTTTTAATAATTATTAGAATATGGATTGAAAATGGTGGTAGTGGGTTGTGGGCTTTAGTAGCAACTTCTTAAAAAGTGCCACATGTCTAGCTTTCCAGAAAAATGAGAAGGCCATGTGTCTAAATGGTGTGAAACTGTAGTTTGATAGTAGATTGTGGACTTTAGCAGGAATTTCTGAGAAATTGCCATATCTAACTTTCTAGAAAATGAGGTCACTTGTCTAAATGCTGGTAATGGGCTTTAACCTAAAAGCCTTCCTTTAACATCTATATATATATATATATATATCAACATGTGGCTTTTTAAATTTTCAATAAATAGTATATCAGAAGTGAGTTCCTCTATTTTCAAAGAGAAGTCGATCCACTCCCCAAAAAGAGTTAAAGTGGTTAGTATCTCAGAACGTGAGAGTGGGTAGTAAGCCATGTGGCATCTAATAGGGGCAGCATTCAAAAAGTAGATACTCTTTGGTTTAGACACGTTTCAACCCACAAACCCATGTCCATTTATAATTGAATTTTTATATTTTCCCTCTTTTCTGCTCATTCTCACGAAAACGAACATTCCCTCTTTTCAATCTTAATCATTAAGGCTGTGTTTGATTTGAAGGAAAAAATAGGGAAAGAAAAGGGAAAGGTTCAAACCAAACATAAGGATCTGCTCAGGAATCCATTCCAATTTACATTGAATCCAATCCATCTTGCTGTCTTGCTGTCAAAAGATTTGCTTAAGGAAGAAACATACACTTTTACTTTCGTGCTTTGAAAAGGTATTCACATTTTTTCTTTCTTCTTTTCATTGGGCTGCATACATAAAGTGAGAACTCAAAATTTGCTTCTTTGAAAAAGGATTGTTTTGGAATTCATTCAAAACATTGTTTCTTAAGAGAAAATATAAAATGTAGTACCAGTTCAATCTTTTGAATGAATTCCGAAATTGATTGTTTCTTTAGAAAAGAATTGTAAGAAAGCATAAAAATTTTGGATTACAATAAAATAGTTCACTCTTTTCAATGAAGTCAACTCAGAAACTGAAATAATGTAATGGCCCTACTTCTCCTATAGAGAATATCAAAAAGAGGAGAAAACCAGAAATTCAACCTCAGATCTCCGCCATTTAAATCTATAGCTCCACGTTTTACTTGGATGTCTTTGGTTGATGTCCAAAAGAACCGGAAAGGTAAGCATTAGACAGATTTAAACTTGACTACAGCACTGAATTCAATCCCACAAGTTTCTGCATTTTGCCTTTGAGGTTGATTTTGGTGAGAGAGTCCAACTCAGAAACTATAGAATTTCAGGCAATCAACCAAGCTTTTTGGCATGCTTCTTTTGGAATTGTGATTCCATCATTTGAACATGAGGCGTGTGATATCTTAAATGGTATAGATTTTTAGCAAAAAGATCCCAGAAGTGAATTTTGTGACCGTAAAACCTCATGGGTAGATTCTCTAAAAATTAAAAGAGGGTTTTGGAATGTAGATTATGGAGGTCATCTTTGTCTTGGCTCAAACACATTTGCCTTTGAGAAACCTATTTTTTTTTTCTTTGATGGATTTGTTTCAGACTTTGGTTTTTCTTTAATTGTTTCTGAACATTGATTTTGTTGTCTAGGTAACTAGGTTTTGATGTGAAATGCATTATTTTATTTATAATATAGTGATATTCAAATAAAATAATATTACTATAAAAAACAGAAAAAGTGAAAACCAAAACAATACATACGTGTGATTACTCTGTATTTAGTACATGGTCATTTCCTAGATAAAATCATCAAATAAAAAATTAACTTAAAATTTTTAATATAAATGATTTAGTACAGGGGTCATGCCTAGTTTTTCCTTACATTTACAATCAAAATTACAGAAAATTAGAAAATGTACATTTGGCTCGACTCTTGGGCAGTTGGGCCTCGCCAACATGTCCTATGAGATCAGGAGCCAGTCCAAAGTACTTAACTACTTAGCTTAACAAATGAATCCAGGGCCTCGGCCCAAGCCCAAGGGATCTTCTACATTTGGGCCTGCCAGTTTATCGAAACGAACGACGAATGTTAACAACAGAGATCCGAACTAGTGCAACTGTAATGTTAGCAACCGCAAGCAACCATGGGCTTCGTTTTCTGCGCTTCTGTGCTTCACTCTCTCCCGTTGCTGCTGCAACTGCGCCTGTAACCCCATCGCTTGTAACTAGTTTTGGCGCCTTAACCCTAATGGAGGCCAGCAACACCAAGAGCCCTTCTTTCTCCGCTTCTGCCCTTCCCAGAAGAAGGTGCTGCTCCTCTTCCTCCTACTAAGATAGAATTCTCCGGAAACCCTAATCCTTTATTATTTTCTCTTATGTTTCTTCCATCCAGCTCTTCTTCTATGTTAGAACGTTGATAATGACTGTAAGGACTAATATTCTTTTGTTTCTTATCTTTTCCGTCACTAGTGGTGGTAAAGGTAGGAGTTCGGAGATGAGAGAAGATCGGCAGCGACCGGCAGGCGGAAGGGGACCCGCCAAAGATAAAATTGACGCTCTTGGGAGACTCTTGTAAGAATAACCTAACTATATTTTGGATTCGATGAATTAGCTCATTCTGTTTTCTCTAATGTAGATGCCTCAGCTAAAGTAGTCGAACTTCGTGTCTCTTTGTTTAACCTTCGTTGACATATGATTTTATTCCATTTGAATTTCTGCTCTTGTTCCTTTCTTTTTTTTTTTCTTTTGAGAATTCGGAAAAGTGTAATAAAATTTGCAAATAATTTGATTTTAGTTGATTGCGTCTCTTCGAGAGGGAGCGCGAGGGTGAGGGAAACAATCATGTTATCCTTTATGGTAGTTTGGTTCTGGTGTGTATCTAAGTGGGTATAATTTAGTTAAAGCAATTCTGTTTTTCTGTAATTTTTTCTCAGAACACGCATATTGCGCCATATGGCTACTGAATTGAACTTGGATATCCGGAATGATGGGTATGTCAAGGTGAATGATCTCCTGAAGATGAATATGAAAACATATGCTAATATCCCATTAAGATCACACACGGTTGACGAAGTTAGGGAGGTTAGTTCTATAAGCTTTTTTTTTTTTAATTCTTATTTCATCCTATTTTCGTTCTTTTTTCAATTTCTTCAAATTTTATACTTTTAGTTACAGGTTTAAGGGGTAAATGGGCTATGATGTATCTCTTGATTCATCTTCAGTTAATACAATACAGTTCATAATTTACTTTTCAAAAGACATAAAACTAAAAGAGCATACCATACGGATTGGGAGGGGAAAATACCACATTTTACTACCAAAATATGGTATCACTTGTGATGCTTGTATCTGATTTTGTGCTCATATACTGATATCTACATATTCTTCTTGTTCTTCATTCAACCTATATATTTAACAAAGAATGCCTCTTGCAAGTTTCTTTGCCCCTTTCTGACAATTGACATAGATCTCCTAAACAGAACTACTTTGATTATTAATGTATAAAATTTTCAGGCAGTCAGAAAGGATAATAAACAGCGATTTAGCCTCTTGGAGGAAAATGGGGAACTGTTGATTCGTGCAAACCAAGGGCATACAATAGAGGTGATGTTCCCTTTAGTAGTGCAACTGTTTTCTGCATCAGGCGTTCCAACTTCATACTTCATTTCACCCAACAAAGCAGGAAAAAAAAAAGAACAAGAATAAAAAATGTGAACATTTATGAAGTTTGATTGAGGTATTTGTATTAAAAAATTTGTTCTCTTTTTTATCAAATGCACATTTGTGCTCTTTTTTATTATTACACTACTATTATTAATATTATTTGTCAAGGATTCTAGTAATCCTAAGTCCTAACAAATGCACAAATACAAATATAGGTTGTTTATTGTTTTCTACATGGATGGATGTTACTGTTCCATTGTCTGTTCTGTTCGCTGGTGGGAATGGATAGCTCAGGGAAAATCCAGGTTGGGTCTGAAAGTGTCTGATCTGAATCTGGACAATGTTGGACCAGACCCTGTGTTACCTTTGATGGGACAGTTTGGATTGTATGTGGGGAAACATTGACTGATTATTTTGTTCTATCTAGTCAATGCAATAACTAGTTAATGCTAATGACATGACACAAGGCGTTCCGCGTTCCAAACTTCCACTACCTAGAAGCGTGAGGTGTAGTTCAGAACATAAGAGGCGTAAGTCTCCTGAGCACAAGGAGGTATAAGCCTCCTTAAGAGGAGGGGGATGAGGAGGAAGAAGTGGAAGGAGGATGTTATCTTGGTTTTTTTTTTTTTTGATAAGTAGGTTCTTATCTTGTTTGGGCATGGGTATATTGCCAAATAATATTTAAGACTTTGACTGCAAAGATTTGCATCCTTCACCACCAAGGGCTATTATAATAAAATTATGTTCATGTAAGTTCATTAGATGTTATGTTGAATTTGGATTTACAGGCACCAACTGGTGGATCTTCTTGGTCAATATCTTATATGAAGTTGTTCCAAAAAATCAACCTTAAATGCTTTATATATCTTCATTTTTTTTCGCACCAAGACCAAGATAAAGTAATAATTGAAGTCTCTGCAAAACAAACAGTAACACAGATTTAATGATTCAAGAATGTTATGTGAAGTTCTTTCAACATTCATGCACTATGTTCATGGTTGGATTCTTCTCCCTTACCCAATTTCCTGTCTAGGACTATTAATATTAAACTAACCTATTAGGATTTTTGCACGTTCCTTTGCAGATCATTGAATCTGAAAGTTTATTAAAGCCCATTCTTTCAGCTGAGGAAGCTCCAGGTTAAATTACTTTCTAATGAATTTATATCATACTCTCAAGTCTCTAGTTGCAATATTGCATATCTTTGAACCATGATTTAAATTCTTGACTTTCTCACATCTAGTTCCTTCCTTGATATTCAGTCTGTGTACATGGAACCTATAAGAGGAATCTGGAATCAATTCTGCAGTCTGGTCTGAAACGTATGAAAAGGTTGCATGTTCATTTTTCAAGCGGTGTGCCAACAGATGGGAGTGTAATTAGTGGTAAGCCAAGCTAATTGATTTTTTTCATGTATTAAATTGTGAACAGTAGATAAAAAAGAGAAGGGAAAAGGGAAAAAAACAAAAGAGAATAATTTTGGTAGTGCATATGATAGGATAATCCTTATGTTTCCTTCAATGAACTTAGGGAACCAGGTTTAGATTGTATTCTTTGATTTTGACTTTGTTCCACTACTTTTACTCCACGTCTTACATGCTCATGCTCATCAAGCTAGAGCACTAAAAATATCAGGTAGCCTCGATGGGCCAGTAGTCCAAAGTTCTGATCCTGAAACCCTCTAATCATTCTCTAGCTTTCACTCAAGCACAATATTCACATATGTTGGTTGTTCCTGATTGAAGGCTCAAGAATAATAAAGAATGTTGAGGTCAATATCTGTGCTTGGGTTCACTTGTTGACAAAAAAAGGACAACCATCAACGGTAATGGAGAGATCTTGCTTGGATCTGGTGGTTATTAAAGAGGAGGGAGTTTTCACCACAATGAAGGTTTAGTGACTTAGTCAGTCTACGATCCTGAGTTTGAGTTTTGGATCTATGAGGCAAAGGAGAACCAAAGGGTAGGAAAAGATTAACAAACTCCTTTTTTCATCACAATTGAAAAGACAAAAACTAAATACAGGATCTCTTAATATCTATGTTTATCTCGTTGTAAATAATTTCGAGCAAAATGTTAGAGCATCTTTTTGAGAAAATATTCAGACCATTCATGATTACCCTTTATACTTGCCGGGTCATTCATTGCCATTAATCGGGTGTGGGGAAATTTTTGACTTAAATGTGTGTACATACACATTATCTTCCTCTGCTGCTATACCAATTGCCATGATAGACACAAACTATGAAGAATACCACATTTAAACACCAAAATCTGGTAAAATAAGCTTTTTTTTTTTGTGATAAGCACCAAAATCTGGTAAAATAAGCATAAATGATTTGCAATTCTTTTCTTCGTGGAGAAACAGATATAATCTTCAAGACATTCAATGCATGAATTTTAAACATCTTTGGTGTTTTAATTTTCTCCTTGTACAGATATGCTAGCTTTGGTTACCATTAGACGACTTGCCCATTTTTGCAGGTATGCGACGGGATGTTAATGTGTTAATTTTCTTAGATGTCAGAAGGGCCCTCGAAGGTAAGAGTTTTTTGCAGTACGTTAAAAAGAGTTGAGTTGGAAACCTTTAGACAACATGGATGATACTAATGCATTAGTTATTGTTCCAGATGGAATGAAGCTGTACATTTCAGACAACAAGGTAATCTTGACTGAAGGCTTCGACGGTGTTGTGCCTGTCAAATATTTTGAAAGAATAGAAACGTGGCCAGATAGACAACCGGTTTCTTTTTAAGCCAAGTGGTCAGGTGCTAGGATGGTGAGACATGATTATCATGCTCGGTCAAATGCTTTGAGAAGAGAGAATCAATGACCAAATAGGCAGCTCCTTTCCTTTTTCTTTTGAAACTGTCAGTGATAACTATGTAATAACTAATCTGAATATTCCATATTGTTGGAATGAAAGAACGCTGCGCAATGGATGGAATACCTAAGCCATGTTTCCATTCTTCTAAACATTGTATTTTGTAGTTCCGATAAAATGAAAAAGGTTGTTTCATGTCTCAGTATATTCTTTTTTTTTTTTTGGGCAAATGAAAAAGGCTTCATCATCATCCATTGATTGAGAATTGTACATGATTATTTGTCTACAAAATAGAACTTAGGATCTGAACCAAGAGAATCAGCTCGATCAAGGAGATGGGCGTGGAGATAATTAAAGCATATAATGATTGAAAACACCATTGAAAATGAAACAAGGATACAACTACACAAAAGCTTGGATTAAAAGATTCGGGTAGGGGCCGCGCGAACGCGTACCCCCACTACCACAAATTATGACGTACACTCTCCCACTTGGGGAGATGTTAGGCAGGCACCCCTCCTAAGTGCAATGGAGGTCGCCAACCTAGGCCATGAGCCTTCTTGATCACCCATTGACCCCGTCCAGGTAAGTATGTTAATCCATTCTTCTACCCTTCTATTTATAATCGCCTCTTCCCTTCCCTTCTTTCTTACCTAGCCGATGTGGGACTAATTATTATATTACTTATCGCGTCCGACTGAATCCAATATGCTGAAATTCCCAATGACGAGTCGACATCTGTGTACCACCCTTAACTCATGCGGTATCTCAAACGAAAAAAAGTTCAAAAAATAACAAATGATCTATTTTCTTATTGTTTCCAAATTTGAAAGTTGAAACCCTTTGTTCGTCCCTCGCCTCTCCTTTCCACCTCCCCCTTTCCTCTCCACTGCTGCAATTAGGCCTTCTCTCTGCCAACTGCCGACTGCCGACACCTAACGGAGAAACCAACCTGGCGACGGTGGTGGATCCTTAGGAGTTAGGAGAGGCTATGTGTCGGTGGGGCGGATTCGGCGAGAGTCCGGCTTCAGTCAGGGTAAAGCCCGTTCCAACAGCCTTTACAGTTGTGTTGGGCAAAGCCGAGCTCCTTCGGCGAGAGAGTATGGATTCTACAGGTGGAGTGAGAATTTGCGGCATCTAGGGCCGTTGGCTCACCCCGTCTGGTGCTAGTTCCGCAGGTTGGGTTGAAGAAAAACCTTTTTACCATTTTCATCATTCAATTGAGTTGAGACGAGACCCTTCGGAATGAATTCATGGCTTCTCAGTAAGTCTTAACTAAATCAATACTAAAGGCAGTACCACAACAGTAAAAGATTAGAAGACTGATTTGGTAGAGGTGCGCCAGGCCCGTGCAGTAGTGCAAAGAAAGAGAGACGCGCGAAGACCCCAGTAGCCAGCTACTGTTAAGGGCCCACCCCCAAGAAAAATTAATTTAATATCCTGTGAACCGATGGCCCACGTATCAGATATTAAACTGATAAGAACAGATACTACACTTGATCTTAGCCAAAAGGCCGAGAAAGGTATAACTGGTTAGGAGCCCCGGTTTGTCTTTTATACCATTGCTTCACCTATGACTCTTTACTCGTTAACGATGTGGGATTCGGAACAGGATGCGACCAAATGTACCAAATCTGCTTTCCAACGTGATACGACAAGCGCTTCTGTATCTGATATTTCTTTCGGAACTTCAATGAACTTTTTTGCTTTTCTTTCTCTTGAGAAAGTCTGGAGTTTCTGATATTTCAGACCAAAACCTCAATTAAAACGTAACCTTTTCATCCCTCAACACTCTAAACTCTTCCCACGCCCTGCACCATCTATATAATACCCAACCAAATCCCTTAATTTTTCAAAAAAAAAAAAAAAAAACAGCAAGCTACCCAACTGAATTTTCAAATTGGAATCCCACTATAACACTACTCACTTTGTATATGCTGATAATAGAACATCTAACTTGGTGACTTGGAAATTTTTCATGTGGTAAAGTGGAGAGATCAAAGGCTATTTTAAATGTCTTCATCAAATCTCATCCAGGTAATCTACAACTAATAATAACAAAAACAAAAAACAAAAAAAAAACTTGAACTCAGGAGTAAAATGCAGTTGACTTTTACTCAATAAAGAGTTTCTGAGGAAAAAATGCTCAATAAGGGATAAAGACAGAGTCAAAGATTAAAGTTCCATTCAGTATGATTGTCATTTGACCATTCCATGCAACAGCATAGCACATCACTTGGGTATCTAAATGGTCACTTGGAATGAAATTGGGGTTTTGTTCTTGTCTTGTTAAGTAACATTTTCCATGTTCTTCCGACCTTCAGTAATTAGAAATATGATTTGCTAACTCCTCTTTGGTAAAGTGAAGTTGATCTTCGGTATTTCAGCTATGTTGTAGAGTTGATCTATTTGCAGATAGGTCAAACTTACATCAAAATTGAAGCATAAAGAAGATAAAATAGTAGAGCAATTTACATTCTGATTCCAAGTACTGAAGTTGGGAATTGTTTTGTGTCTTCACTCTTGGATGTATACTTGTTGGAGGTATCAATGCCAATAAGTAATATAATCATACTTACTGATCCAGATTCTAAGCTTTCATTATACTGAAATAGAGTCAATGAATTTCCAATCCAAGGAGAATATTCACGAGACAAGCTGATACTTCAAAGAATCAAGTCTTACAATAGTGTAAGTGCAGAATCGGATTATTTTATGAGTGCCACATTTCTCTTTTCAATCAATAATCCCAACTATTCTTCACATATTTCAGCTAGTATGATGATTCTTTTCTATGTTTTGTTCAAAAAAATCAGTTTTTTGTTGTTCCATGTGAAATTCTGACTACAGCAGACAAATACAAAGACATGTTTTAGAAATGTGTGTTTATGTTGGTAAAAGAAGATACACCAACAAATAATTAGGGGTGTTTACGGGTCGGGTTGGGTCGGTTTGAGTCATTTTTTTCAACCGATTCGACTTAGTTGGTTTACTCATTAATTAAACCGAAACCGACTAACCCTAAAGCAAAATCAATCCAAACATGAAGGGTCGGTTTATTGGTTTAGTCGGTTTTTATATATATTTTAAACTGAAATATCTATATCTAAATATCTATTTATATTTAAGTTTATTTCTTTTTAGTTTTTATGCAAAACCAAAATATATATTTAATTTGATTATTATTTTTATGAAAAACTGATTTTTTTGTCAATATATATTTAAATTTATACAAAACTGAATTAAATATTGTACCATTTTATTATATTTGTATTGGTTTTATGTTTTTAGCTTTTATCACAAATAACCAATTTTTTTAAAGTTCAATCAAAACACAAATAAAATATATCAACATTTAACATATAGGGTAGGGACTAATTAATAATTACTTAAAAATATAGAATCGGTTTGGTTGGTTTGACATTTAATGTGAACATCCCTACAAATAACAATTGCTTACCAAAGAAAAAGGAGATAGAGACACTATTAAATGAATACACCATATTTCTTAAACAGCTGCCCCAGCTAGTTACTCTGTTTTTACTGTAATTCTTAATCTAATTCCAACCATGCCTATGTTAATCTTTTGCCTACTCAAGCTTTTCTAGAAGGATGACAATTGATGTAGGGGTATCTAGCTGACCTACGGATCTTGACACATGGCGTTGGCCAGATGCACCCCGGCCGTCCCATGGATTCTGACATGTGGCATCAGCCGAATGCATCCTGACCATCCACCATCAACCACTTCCAATTGCCGCCACCTACTCCTAACTACCCCTCTTCTAAGGCAACTCTGACTATAAAAGGGGCTCCCACATTGAGGTAAGGATACAAAGACTTAAGCTCTAAGTTTCCTCTCTTGCTTGGTTCGATCCTTCACAGCTCTCGGCTAACTTGATTGTTAGAGTCTTTACCCCTAGGATAACTCCCGGGGTTTCTAACGTCTTCTTTCTCTTAGAAAATTGGATTGTTGTTCTCAGACACCAGAAATTATGTTGTTGCCCTCGACTCCTTATTTGGTAGCAAAAATTGGCGCCATCTGTGGGAACGTCTTCCAAACTTTCCCTAAGGAAAACAAATTTGAATTAATCAACTAGTGTCTCCGAAATGGATGACAAACAAGACCCCACTCCTAACATTCAGAACTTAGTCACGATCGACTAGATCGAGCTGGTCCTAAACAGGCTAGACAACCTGGCCCAGTGTCTGGACAATATAGGGTGTCCAACAGGAGAATGGTCGCCCCGTCGGAACCAACGAACAACATGGCAAGCAATCCACCCATACCCCGTTGAGCCAACGCTTAGGGGCCGAAAGGGGACCCTTCGGAGTTCGATAGCAGCAGTCAATGGCTTGCAAGCTCCGTTCCAAGACCCCTCGGCTCCCCAACCAAGGGGGTGAACCCGTAAGATCCCACACTGAGTGCAAGAACCATGGTCAACAACACTGTTGTGTTGTAACCAACCGGGACGACAGTGGGCGCTCATGCTACTACAGTCCCCCTCAGGGGCGAGAGGTCAACGCCATGCCTCTCCCTACTGGTTTTCGACCTCCACGACCTCATCAACGATCGCCATGCCCACAAGGCTCAGGATGTGTTGGCGTCCGAGCACTCCATAAATAGGGCCAGCCCATCCTGTGTGAGAGAGAATCACGACTAAACCGAAGTGTCGATGCCTTACATTGACTAGTGCCTTAGAGATATTCAAGTGCAGATTGGCACCATTCAATATCAACTTCAGCAGGTAAAGGACAACCGAGGTGACGTCTTTGCCAGTTGCCATGCCTCATTCACTTGGATGGAGGCCTTTGTGGATTCCATCATCTCCGAGCCCCTCTTGTCGAATTTCAAGGCCCCGACACTAGAGATCTATGATGAGAGTACAGACCTTGAGGACCACATGGAAAGCTTTAGGGCCCTCATGCTCATGCACGAATACTCCGGCGCCCTCATGTGCCGAGCCTTTCAGGCCACATTAAAGGGAGCAACACGCCGATGGTTCTCGACACTACTTCCACACTCTATCGATTCGTTGGAGCAATTCACAGATCTCTTCCTAGGTCACTTTGTGAGCAGTCGATGGTGTCAAAAAATCGTCATCTCCCTAATGTCCATCAAGCAAAAGTGTGGGGAGAGCCTTCGGGACTATATGAAAAGGTTCAATGAAGAAGAGCTCAAGGTCAAGGACCTCGACCCCT